TTTTTTATTTATTATTACGCTGTCAGTAATTTTATATTATGTTAAAAATGAATAATAATAAAAATAATTAAACATTTATATATTTTTTTTAAATATATATGTATATGTATATATAACGTTAATTTAATATTACAAATAAAATATATATTAATATTTATTTTATGTATCACCAACGGTATAAAATGGGTACGAACTATTAGGTTGGCGTAATAGTTAGAATAATCCTCATTGTCATCATCATAGTAGAATTTCTATATAATAACTGGGATAATTTATAAAATTTCTAACAATTTTCTTGATTATTTTATTTTCAAAATATTTTAATATAACTTTACACTATTCAATGTTTAATCATGAATGACGACGGAGGACAAAGATAAGTATTCTTTTTTTTTTTTCAAACGTCTGCCCCACTCATTAGTCATTATCACGTCTTCTGTCTAAATACATCCTGGTTTTGTGTTTTGTTTTAGATGCATGGCTGAAGAAAGATGCATAAAGAAAAGTTAGAAGGCTTCATAAACACAAATGCTTTATATAATAATCAATCACAATCATGTCATTTTTTTCATAAAGACCACTATTTTACTGATATTTATGTTAAAGTGTAAATGTTTTCATTAGATTTAGAAAAAATGTTCTTTGACGGAGTATATGCATAAATAATATCATATAATGATTAAACTTTTATAGTGAATACTTTGAGCCCACGCACTATAGAAAATTTAATTTTATGTTATAGATTATTATAAAGTAATATTATTAATTTTGTAATAAATATTTAAAAAATTATATATATATAGTGATAATCAATTAATTGATAGTATAAATTAAAATATTTACACTACATCAATCTCATATAATAATCTTACGTAAATCGAAGAGTTTGATTTTCCCATTGGCAAATTTTAAAATTGATTAGATTTTTGACGATCATTAATTACTTCTTTGTGGTCTTAGTGTCTTACACAGGTAATTTCATTATATTTTCGATTTTATAAAAAAAAAAACAAAAAAGGAAAGAAAAAAAAAAGTGTACAATACACTCCGAACTTTTATGGATATAGTTTTATTATATTTGTATGTTGTGATTAACAAATTCTTACTGATTCATTGACATAAGCTGATTCATAAATCAGTCTTTTGATTGCTTTTGTCAATAAAAAAAAAAGATCGAAACATCAACAATTATTAAAAAGAGTAATATAATAAATTTTTGCATTACTATTTTATATATACTATTCGTTATTTACCAAACAATATATAAAACAAAAAATTATCTAATAATCTAACTTGTGTTTATTCTCTTAGCATAATATTTATCAAACCTTTATTCTCTTAGCATAATATTTATCAAACCTATCCATATGTTGTGTGTGATACACAATAAGGACTTTATTTAGGCAGAGTAAATAACAAATTCTAACGCTCTTTGAGATCATAAATATAAAATGTAACCTTTATTTTTATTACAATCTCTTTGTTTTTTTTCACCTTGAAACCCAGAAAAAAAGAGTTTTGGGAAGATATAGATGTAGGAAAAAAAATTATCATGTTCTAATATGAGTCTATGCAATAATTACTCCTAAAAGACAATTTTTGTCTAAACTGGCATAAATCAAGACCAAGTAGATCAGTAAATTTTTAGGTTACAGCTATGAATTAAAAAAATTACTGGAAATCTTCCATTAGATAGCACGGCCATATATTGTGATTTAGTACACAAAAAAATTACATTAGCAGACAACAAAATCTTGGAAGTGCCTATCAGGGGTTGGTCGACTTTTGGTGTGGCCTAAAAGTTCAGAATAATTGGAATTTGACAGAGAAGTAGAGAACCAAGCCAAATGCTCCACATGAATGGCAGTTGGAGAGGAAAATTGGTGAGGGTGCATGATATAAGCTGCATGCAACTCTTAGAACTGTGTTGTTGGGTAGAAACCATTCACGGACATTCCTCCATCAATACATATAATCTGGCCAGTGATGTATGACGATGCTGGCAAGCAAAGAAAGGCAACAAGAGAAGAGACTTCTTCTGGATCTCCTAGGCGCCTAAGAGGAGTTCTTGAGTACACTTCTTCCAGATAGTCTTTGTTGCTGAGCACCTAAAAACAAGAGGGTAAAAGTCAGATAATGGAGCACTACTGACTAATGTTTGAATTTTTCACAAGTTAATATGTAGGAAAAAAAATTATCATGTTCTAATATGAGTCTATGCAATAATTACTCCTAAAAGACAATTTTTGTCTAAACTGGCATAAATCAAGACCAAGTAGATCAGTAAATTTTTAGGTTACAGCTATGAATTAAAAAAATTACTGGAAATCTTCCATTAGATAGCACGGCCATATATTGTGATTTAGTACACAAAAAAATTACATTAGCAGACTACAAAATCTTGGAAGTGCCTATCAGGGGTTGGTCGACTTTTGGTGTGGCCTAAAAGTTCAGAATAATTGGAATTTGACAGAGAAGTAGAGAACCAAGCCAAATGCTCCACATGAATGGCAGTTGGAGAGGAAAATTGGTGAGGGTGCATGATATAAGCTGCATGCAACTCTTAGAACTGTGTTGTTGGGTAGAAACCATTCACGGACATTCCTCCATCAATACATATAATCTGGCCAGTGATGTATGACGATGCTGGCAAGCAAAGAAAGGCAACAAGAGAAGAGACTTCTTCTGGATCTCCTAGGCGCCTAAGAGGAGTTCTTGAGTACACTTCTTCCAGATAGTCTTTGTTGCTGAGCACCTAAAAACAAGAGGGTAAAAGTCAGATAATGGAGCACTACTGACTAATGTTTGAATTTTTCACAAGTTAATATGCAGCACCAATTTTAGGTGATTGATTTCTATGCCAGGAAAATGCAATTTTTCACGAGTTACGGACTAGGGATGGTTTACTGATCTTTTATTCCTGATCAAATCCAGGATGGTCCAATTATGAGAAGAGTGTCTTAAAAATCTTATCCTTGGATAATTGGAAGGTAGTAAGAATCTATTATGTTTCTGTTTCTGCCATTTCGATGCAAATCATCAATGAGATGTAATATATGCGTGTGGAGGAGTTACTGTTCCAGAGGACTGACTGGATTCAAGATAAGTAGGTGGTTTAGTAATTCACCAGAAAATAGACTTGTTACAATCTACCTAAGAGGGCACTTCAGCAGGCAGAATTAAGGAAAGAGATTATGCATATCTACCAAGTACCAAGATGTAGGATCAATTCTGTTCCGTTGAAATAGAAACTTACAAAGGGAATGGAAGATTTAAAAATGGGAGGAGGTGTATTTCCTAGTAATTTCAAATCTGTTCTGTTTCGGAATAAGTTTTTCAAGCACTCAACCAAATTTTTCAACAAAAAATGTAGAAAAAGTGATGCTATGGCTATACCATTCATGGTACTAATTAGTGTCATAGGCAGCTCATTCTAACAAATGGTTACAGGATAAAACGGAAGAAAATTACCTGCTCTACCATTGAAGTTCTGATGTACCAAGGTGCCACCGCATTACTCCTTATATTGTCTTTTGCCCACTCACAAGCTAGATTTCTTGTAAGTTGATTTATTGCGCCTGTTAACCAGAAAACAAAAAAATCTTCAAAATTCCATAAACTCTTCAACATCATAGCACTTGTTAAGCAAGCTGCAATACAGCATTGAGAAGGTAAATTACCTTTCGTAGCTCCTTGAACAGACATCAACTTCAGTGAGACAAAACCAGAAACAGACGAGATAAACACAACACTTCCCATTCCCGATGCTTTCAAAAGTGGATATGCAAGTTGGCATATATGAAAGACGGATCCCAGATTGGTATCAATAAGAGTGGAATACTCTGTACTTGTGAAGTCTGTCATTGGTTTCCGAATGTTTGTCCCCACATTGTTTATCTATACATCAAACTGATAGGGTTACTACAAATAAAGAGGGTTACTAATCCAGAGTGAACCTCAAAGCAATCCAGAACAACGAAAAATGCATATTTTGACCCTTGATAGCATTGGGGGGAAAATGAACACAATAGTTATAATTATGAACGTGAAACACACCCTCTCCCAAAATTAGACAAATGTAAGTGGTCTAATAATGACTCGTTAATGAGTGGTTTAATAAGTCCAACAACAATTACTAAAATAGGCTATAATATCATCTTATGATTTGAGTTTGGGATTAACTTAATCTTAAAAGCTAGCAGTGAGGATTATTCCCTATTTATATACATTATTTTAGTCATATTATTAACCAATGCTAAATCTCCCTTGATAGCATGGGGAAAAATGAACGTAAGAGTCATGATTATCAACATGAAACACCCCCTCCCCTCAAGAGTTACAAGATTGAACATATGCAGATAGTCTCATAATGGCTCGATAAGGAATTGGTTCAATAGGTCCAACAATAACTATTAAAATAGACTCAAATCATTTTATGATGAGTTTGGGATTGACTTAACCTTAAAAGCTAATTATAAAATGAAGATTGTTATGCACTTATATACATTATTTCAATCATATTACTTATCAATGTTAGATCTGGAACAACAACTTACAAGGATGTTGAGTTTCCCATGGAAGAGAGAGGAAACAGACTGCATAAGCACCTCCCTCTGGTGAGGAACTGAGACATCACAAACTGAGCCAGTGACCTCAAAACCCGAAGCATTCCATTTCTCAAGGCACTTATTGAGATCGTGCTCGTTCCTGGCACAAGTATGCACTCTGGCTCCAAACCCCGTCAATTCCTCCACAATGGCGTGCCTTTACAGTACCCCACAAAAAATCACAAGTTAAAATGAGGATGAGGTGAAAAGGGTGAGAAATAGAAATTGAAAAATGAAATGTTGGTACCCTATTCTGCGAGTTCCACCAGTGACGAGAGCTGTCATGCCCTGAAGAGTCCATCTATGCTGTTTGGACTCGCTCCTAATGCAATTGTTGGACAGTGATTTTCTTCTTCCGTGGTTGAAAATGAAAGAGGTGGTGGCAAAATTAATTATAAGTTTTTTATTTCTAGTTTGTATGAAACAACCTAAAACGATACTTATTATAAGATAAAGGGAGTACTAGTAATAGTTAAATCAAGCTAGCAAAAGGATTAAGGAGTGATAATTGATCTAAATTCATATTATACTAATTTTAAAATGAAAAAAGGTCAAAATTTTGATACGAGATATAGAAAGAGATATTTTTGAAAGTGTTAAAAATGAGAAAATCATTCAATATTTTCAAAATATGAAATCTCATAGAGAACAATTTAATGTATATTTATATTTCAAAAAATATAAAATTATATATTTAATACTATAAATTTATGTATTAATACTGCCCCACTACTTCAAATTTCTGGATCTGTCACTGCATGTACGTGTGCGTGTGTGATCATATAATGCTCTATCACACACAAAATTGAAACTATTGAAATTTTCTTAATAAATTTTCAAATATAATAAGCTTGACTAAAAGAGAAACTATTTTTTAGTTTTTTTTTTCTTGTTGTATTTTAATACCTTAAATCATACAATTTTTATCTCAAGTCTTTCATTTCAAACTAAAAATTAAAAATTCTTTAATTTTGATTTTTACTTTCAAGTAGACGTCAAATTATAACATATAATCATATAATATCACAATTAGAATAAATCATTTTTACATACACACAAGAATTAGTGTTTATTAAACTTATCCTACCATTGCTTATTTGTTTGTTTTAAACCATTCAATATAAGCTTACAAATCTTGTATTATTGTCTTGATATAAAATAATCTTGTGGATCTCAATGTAATTTTCTTTTATTGATCCATCATGCCTACATTTTATTTTAACAAATCATTTCATTTCATTAGCATTTTATATTTTATTTTATACTTATTAATAAAACAACCTCTAAGGTAACAATAATTTTATACTTTCATTTTGTACATTATTTATACATATTAGTTGACTACATTTGAGCATATATGATAATGTATGTATTTTCAACATTTCTATTATGATTAAATCTATAATTTTATTTTTATTTTTCTCATCAAATTAATAAATAAATAATAATAATTGGTTTTTTCATTGGATCATGCACAAAATTTGATCACATAATAAATATCAAATAAATTTGATCATACATTATATAAGAAACAATCATCAAAACAAGATTTTTAACATATACAACTAATTAAAACAATAATATTACAAAATAATAAATCATTTTTTTTTCTAAATAGCCTTTTAATTGCATATTAGATATTATTAACTATTTATTTTTTATCACATTTTATTTCCTATTTTTTTCATAAACATTTTGTAAATTGTTTTACACAAAAATCAAATAAAAAATTTGATATACAATTAAAGAGAATATGACTTATCTGTATTTTTGGGGAGTTTTCAATTAATTTGATTTTACTACCTCATTGTATTCTCAAACAAGTTATGGATTATGTAATAAAAAAAAAAAAAAACAAGTTATGGATTCATCTTCAAAATATTGTCAGTCTCCAATTACTTAGAGAATATTAACAATCTTTGGATTTGTCATATTGTTGTTAGTTTCATCAAAGAGTTTGAGTTTTGATACATTAACCAAATCAATTTCATAAACAACAAATTTATTAGAACAATACAATAATAAAAGATAAAGAATTTGCTTTCAGATTGTTAGAAAATATTAAAAAATAATAATAAAAGAGAATATTATGTCGTGACAAAAATCACCGTCTTGAAAGCGAATTCTCAATAGACCTCTAATGCAACTCAATAACCGATTTGCTTCTCAAGACTTATATTAGGATGTGTTTAAACTCATATACTTGAAGTCAAATACGTTAGAGTTTCACAACAGAAAATATGAAAAAATGTAAAAAAAATAGATAATCATCTCTCTTTTAAGACTCACTCCATTTATCTTATTTATTCTCTTTTTTTTTATTTTTAATAAAGATATGAAATATCTCAATTCCACTAATATAATATAAAAAAAATTAATCTGTTGACAAATAATAATAAATACTTTTAATAACAATAATAACAAAAACAATTAATATCTCAATATATAATACTACTAAAATAATTAACATTTCCTACCAATTTTTACTCACATTCTTCCTCAACCATTCTCCTCCTACTAACCTCCCCTCACCTTCTTCTTCATCCATTCTCCTCCTACCTACTTCTTCTCACTTTCTTCCTCAACCCTTCTCCTCCTATATCAATCTCCTGTATACCAGACAGACACAGTGTAAAGGACATAAGTTTTAAAACTAGCAGAGTAGCAGTGTAAGAAATTAATATTTGCTAAGATTACATATACTAGTCAAAAGAAAGAAAAAAATTCACTATTTATCCCCCTAACTTTGAACAGAAAATTTCGATTTCATCCGGTGAGATTTAGTAAAACAGCCTTCTAAATTTGAATTTAATCAAATACATTATTAAATTTGAAAAACTACATATTTACATTTTAAAAAATATGTTATTCACACAATAACTTAAACAAAAATATACTAATGGGAGTTGGGTCTACAGTATTAGCAAAAGACTAGAAGGAATTAGTCTTGCACGTGAAAGGGTTCAAAATTCCGTTAAAAGTAGTGTTCAAATTAGTGACTTTGTTGAATCAAGATTATTTCTAAAAGAAGATTTATAAGAGAAAAAAGACTCATAATAATTTATATAATAATATTTTTTCTATTTTTTTATCACATAATTTATTAAACTAGCAATATTAATTTTTTTAAAAAAAAAATTAATTCGTAAATAAATAGGAATAAAATCTCTCCACCTTCATAAATGGTTAGTTTTTTTTTTTAATAATTTACTGTATAGTTGTTAAACTTTTCTACCGTATTGTAAATAAACTACTTTTAAAAATTAAATAATCAGTATATATATATATATATATATATATTGGAAATTTTACTTGAATTAGCTAGTAGCCAAAAAAATTCTAAAAATGTTTCAAATAATTTAGTTAAAACTGGAAATTTTACTTGAATTAGCTAGTAGCCAAAAAAGTACGCCACCAAAACTTGTCAATTTTGACTGCCACCAATAGAAGAAATTATTAAATACGTATTGTAAAGTTTTCCATACACTGTTTTAGGAGAGAAAAATAAAAAGAAAAAATAAAATAATTTTTTTTATAAATTAAAATTAGTTTTTGCATAAATTAATTTATAAAAATTCTCATATATATTATATTTTTTAAAATTTAATTTTTAATTTATGCATTAAGTAATTTTAATTTTAAAAAAAATACTCAACTTTTTATTATACTATTTTTTTGTTTTAAGTGTTTTTGAAAAAGTTTATCTAAACAAACTTGTATTTTAAAACTACTGATTTTTTATGGTCTTCACTATTGTTTATAATACATATTCAAAAAAATTAATTATAAAAATAATTAATAACTTAATTATATGTTATTTTTAAATGTGATCAGGTAGATCGACAATCTAATAAATAATTAAAAGCTCAAAATTTCTTTCAGATAAGACTAATGATATTCTATAATATTTTAACTTAGTTTGCAAAAATGTATATTTTGTAGATCTAACAACTTTTCTTTTTTTTTAAAGATAGAAAAAATTATAAAGATGATCGCGAGAATTGAACTTATTCCTCATACTTTTAATTACCTCAATCCTTCCCCACCCAACCATTATATGCTAACCCTACCTACCCAACCACTATGTTAACCCTAGTAGTCTATCTAACATGTTTCATAATAAAGAAAAGAAAAAGACATGGGCAGAGAAAAAATGTATAATTGTACACATTTGTTTAATAAATAAAAAAGATTTTGGTTGATAATAAGTAGACGAGTTTTACACTCAAAACTCACAAGTAAATCCTAACTGGCTGCAGGAGATGTACATTCCATATGAGACAAAACATAGTCCCCACATACAATTAATTCTTTTCAACCTTACGTAAGCCATTTACTCAACACTGGATAAGATAGATGTGGGAAAATAATTTCGATAAACAGCATACATGTTAGGTCTGAATTTTATCTAGTAAAGAGGCCTAGCATTACTATAAATATTAGCCATTGAGAAGTTAGCAATACTTGTGTGAAAGTGTGGGATATTTTAGAGATAGGGAAGAGAAATGGCTCAGGTAAACACAGGTAGCAAAAACAGATGGTCTTTGCAAGGGATGACGGCTTTGGTCACCGGTGGATCCAAAGGAATCGGGTTAGGTTACTATCTCAAGTTCTTCTTCCACACATTAATTCATTTCATTTTATATTCCTTCTACATATATTCTTAATTTGAAAGTCGTTACTAAAAATACATGTTTCTCTGCTATCAATTGACAACGACAACTATGCTGAGATATTAAACAAAATGTGTTAGTGTTATAATTTTTTTTAGTAGAGTTCGAATATGATGGATTAAAAAAATAATTAATTACAACCAAGCTAGTTGTTTAATTTTTAGTGATTTGTACCAGGAGTGTGCAAAAAATTCAAATTGATTCGAATCGATCCATAACCGACCTGATCTGTATTGAAAAATCTGATTCATTTTGAAAAAAATCCGAACCGAATCACTTTATAAAACTGGTTCAGTTATCTGATTCATTTTTATAAAATGGATCGGTTCGGTTCGGTTCGATTTGGTCTTTTAAAAAAACTGATCTATATATGAGTAAAAAGTGGATAACTGCACCGCACCAAACCGACCCATATTTTAAAAAAATCAAACCAATCCACTTTATAAAAAATGGATCGATTAACTGATTCACTTTTATAAAACGGTTCGATTCAAATTTTTAAAAAAAATCGATCCATCAACACCCTTAATTTGTCCCATATCAAAGACAATAATAATTGTACAACTAGAGAGTAACATGAGACTTATTTCTCACAATTTCTCTGATATATTCTTACTATAGATATGCTATTGTGGAGGAGCTGGCACAGCTTGGAGCCAGAGTACACACTTGCTCTCGTAACGAAGCTCAACTCAATGAATGCTTACATCAATGGACCGCAAAAGGATACAGAGTAACCGGTTCAGTTTGTGACATGGCGTCACGTGCAGACAGAAAAGAGCTCATAGCTAGAGTCTCCTCTGAGTTTAATGGCAAACTCAACATTCTTGTCAGTAATTCATTTGAATGCCATGAAATTTAAGTATTCGTTTTAGTACTTAGTATTTGTCACATTTATAAACTGGTGTAGGTAAACAACGTGGGAACAAACGTACCCAAACGGACTTTGGATGTTACGGAGGAAGATTTCTCACTTCTGATTAGTACCAATCTTGAATCCTCTTACCACATAAGCCAGATTGCACATCCTCTCCTAAAAGCTTCAGAGGCTGCAAGCATCGTTTTTGTATCATCCATTGCTGGTGTGGTGTCGATAAATGTAGGATCCGTTTATGGTGCAACAAAAGGTAATAATCATTTCTTTCATTGTATTTTTTCATTCATGTTGATATGATAATTACCTATGTAATTGACATGCAGGAGCAATGAACCAATTGACAAAAAATTTGGCTTGTGAGTGGGCCAAAGACAACATAAGGACTAATTCCGTAGCACCAGGGCCAATCAAAACCGCTCTTGCTGCCGAAGTAATTTTCTAAGTAGCATTCTTGTTAATTAGAGAATCATTGCATGAGAAGTGTTAGTAACACACATTTCTTTACAGGTTCTTAAATATCCAAAAATTCATGATGGTTTCATTTCGCAAACCCCACTTGGACGAATAGGAGAGGCAGAGGAGGTATCTTCATTGGTGGCGTTTCTGTGCTTACCTGCAGCCTCTTTCATAACAGGACAAACCATTTGTGTTGATGGCGGGCTAACGGTGAATGGTCTCCATGCAGACTTTGAATAGAAGCAAGGCCTGTGCACTCCTGTTGTACTAGTCTTTGTCTTAACTCTTAATTAATAATAAGAATAAAGAGTGTGTGTGTCCTTTGGTTCAGTCTTATCCTTTGCACGGGTGAAAAATTCAGCCAAAAAGAAAACATGGGTTGGAATTGCAATTATGAATAATCACAAAGTTTGTCTTTCAATGTAATGGGCCATGCTTAATGGTGATAATAAATGCCAGATATTACTGCAGATCTGTATCAGTTCACTTTTTGGTTGCTAACTTCAAAATTGACTTGTCCTACAAAGTGAATTTACGGGATCCTCTCCTGCGATTTACGTACAGCGTCTCTCCATCAGCATCTCAACCGTCCATTTTCTTATACATCCAACGGTTATAAATAAAAATTCATTTTCGAGTGCAACAATTTTATTTATGTTTTGGAAAGACCGCACGTCTTCTTTTTGGAGCCAAACCAAAACAGAAAAACAAATCACAGGTTGGGCACGTCTTCCTTTTTGCACGTCTTCCTTTTTGGCGCCAAACAAAATAGAAAAACTGATGTCCACCCGTCTCCCTCTTTCACTATAGCTTTGTAAATAAAAATTGAAAAACACAGCACACATCTGGAACCAACTCAAAGTACCAAAACAGAAAAACAGAGCACACGTCTGGGACTAATCAAATTGCTTGGCAAATAACAAAAATTGCTGGGAATTATCTTGAAAGGTAAAAATTTATGTATGTGATTATTTTCAAAATTCTTTCAAGTTTCAATAATTATTTGAGAGTAAGAAGATGGTTGATGATAGAAACTTAATTTTTTTTACATTGATAATTTTTAATCTTACATTGTTGATAAAAGAACAATAAAGTCCGTTAATTAATAATTTTTCTATTAATGTTACATTGTTGATGAAAGAAAAATAAATAGGATATTTATGCAAACTAATAAATCTTTAATTGTTTAGAATGATTGTCATATATGTGTCTCTCTGTCTCATAATATGTCCAACACTATTTTTCATTTATAACAATACGTGCTTGAAACGTTCGCAAATCCACTTTGAAATGTTAGCATCTTGATTAATAATTTTATGTTTGTTTATTATATTATGGCAAATGCAGAATTATTGATTTAAGATGCAAGAAGATTGGAAGCCGAAATTGGATATGATTTTTGATAGCCTTGAGGATGCTTGGAAGTTTTGGGTTGATTATGGCGGGAGAGTTGGATTTGGAGTAAGGAAACAATATACACACAAAAAAAAAGATGGCTCAATTTCATGTTGTAGGTTTGTTTGTTGCAAAGAAGGTTTGCGAAAGCCAGACAAACGAGATTATAAAACAATTAATCCAAGATCGGAGACCAGAATAGATTGTAAAGCAAGGCTAGGACTTAAAAACATGTGTGGAAAATTGATAGTGCATGATTTTGAGGAGGAACACAACCATATTTTACATATACAAGAAACAACTCATATGTTGTCATCTCAACAAAAACTTTCAGAAGCTCAGTGTCAGCAAATTGATCTAGCAGATGATGCTGGCTTACAACAAAGAAAATCATTTGATTTGATGAGTAAAGAAGTGGGAGGAAGAACTAACTTGGGATATACTCGCCTTGATCAAAAGAACTATCTCCGAAAAAGAAGGCAAAGGAGCTTGGTACACGGGGAAGCTGGTTATCTTTTGCAATACTTTCAAAGAAAGTTGGTTGAAAGTCCACCTTTCTATCATGCCTATCAACTAGATGTCGAAGATCAAATTACTAATGTCTTCTGGGCAGATGCGGGGATGCTAATTGATTATGGATATTTTGGTGACGTGCTTTCTCTTGATTCAACATATTGCACAAATAGTTCGCATAGACCACTAGCAGTGTTCTCAGGATTTAACCACCATCGAAGAGCAGTGATTTTTGGGGCTGCACTATTATATGATGAAACAACAGAGTCATATAAGTGGCTTTTTGAAACATTTCTGGAGGCACACAAACAAAAAAGACCCCAAACAATTTTTACTGATCAAGACCAGGCAATGGCAAAAGCACTAGTTGAGGTTATTCCTGAAACTTACCATGGCTTATGTACATGGCACTTGATGCAGAATGGCATCAAGCACTTAAGCAATTTAATGAAGGGGGAATCACATTTTCTTAGTGACTTTAAGAAATGCATGTATGGCTATGATGATGAAGAACAATTTGAGGAAGGTTGGAGAAACCTCCTTGAAAAGTTTGATGTTAAGGAAAACACTTGGTTGCAAAGAGTGTATTCTGTGAGGGAAAAATGGGCATCTTGTTACCTGAAGAAGGCTTTCACATTGGGAATGCGAAGCACCCAACTTAGTGAAAGTGTGAATGCTGATATTAAAAGTTTTATCAATGTGAATTTGGATCTTATCAAGTTTTTTAATCGTTTTGAGGATGTTGTAGAAGAAAAACGGTATAATGAATTGAAGTGTGAATATGAAGCACGTCAAAAAATTCCAAGACTCAAGAACCCATATTCTGATATCTTGAAACAAGTGTCTGAGCTTTATACTCCTACTATTTTTGAGTTATTCCAACATGAGTATGAGTTGTTTGAAGCATGTTCTGTTAAGAGCATAAATGTAAAAGCATCATTAGTTGATTGTGTTATTGCCATGGTAAAGGATTTGGGAGAATGGAAAGTGTCATTTGATTTGGATAAAAAGATAATTCATTGCTCTTGTTGTAAATTTGAGACATTTGGCATACTTTGTTGTCATTGTCTAAGAGTCTTTATTCATATGGATGTTAAATCAGTGCCTGAGCAATATATCCTGAAGAGGTGGACAAAGTTAGCAAGAAGTGTGTCTTTACCTAATGTTAGTGTTCGTCATGTAGTAGAAGATGCTCAATTGACTTCAACACAACGTCGTAGAGACATTTGTCCCCGTCTTATGAGGATAGTTGATGAAGCATGTAGGAGTCAAGAAACATACACGTTGTTGAGCAAAGTTACTGATTTATTGGACAAGGAAATGTTAGAGTTTCAAAATAAACAAGTAAGTAATACTCAAGTTAATGAGTTCCTTAGTAATGTTATAGAGATTGCAAGAAACAATGATGGTTCAACACAAGTAAAGGGGTTCAAGAAAAAAGAAGGTAGAAAAGGTTCAAAGCGTTTGAAAGGTTGGGTAGATCTGGGCGACTGGTTTCGCCTCCTTGTGTATTGCTAGCTTGTGGCAAATGAAATCGGCGCTTATGCCTGGCATGTCAACGCTAGACCAGGCGAAGAGGTCGAAATTCCTGAGGATTTCTGCTTCAAGTTGATATCGCAACTCTGGAGTTAACTGTCTGCTGATCTTCGTGGTTTGTCTGGGGAGTTTCCCGATCTGGAGGTCATCGAGCTCGTCGACGGGGTTGGGAAATCTCAATGAGGTTGTCCCTTGCATGATGCTAAAGCTGCAGCTAATTCTTCAGCCTGTTTAATTAATATCAGCATAACAACACATTGAAATATATTGCAGGAAATCAGTAGTTGCATAACAATTTTATGAATGGATTCATCGAAGAGACTGAACCAACTAAAAGATCAATATCAATAGTACCTCTCGGGCATGATTAATATTTATTTGTTCAGCATTTTCTTCCTGGTATTTAGCAATCTTTTCCTCAATAGCAGCAACATCTATTCCTTCAGTCAAGTAAAGGACTGCAAAGGGGGAAATTATCAAAATAGAGCAAAATTATCAAGTGAAACACATGTCATCACAATCATATAGGCTTACTCATGACCTCTACTTCCTCCTTGTAATCATTGTATACTTTCAAAGATGGAAAATCATCCTGAAGTTTATTGAATCTATAAATTTCCAGTCCAAGTAAGCAGAAACCAAAAATTGAATGAGTTTAATATAACATGGCCCCCAAAGTGAGAAAATTGGCAGTGAAATAGTGGTCATATGATAAGCACACAATTGACACTAAACACCCAAAAAGAAAAGAAACTAAAGAAAAACTACCCAACAAAAATTGCAGTGTAGTAATGTATAAATTTTGCTAGCTATTGCAATTTCAATAATGTTTTCATCCAGAACAAAAAATAACACATAATTTATCAGTATAATGCGCCTTGTTATCTTGCATGTAATAATAATGGAATAAAGAGAGAAATCAGTTATGGAATTAATGAAAGAAAACCTGAGAAATCGCTAGCAACGACATGTAAAGAAGGCAGTGATGAGAGAGAATCAGGATCCTGAAATTGCTGCACTCGAAAATAAATTTTTATTTATAACCGTTGGATGTATAAGAAAATGGACGATTGAGATGCTGATGGAGAGACGCTGTACGTAAATCGCAGGAGAGGATCCTGATTCGAATTTACGTGCAGTGATCAAATTTTTATTAGCACGAAAGGTTCAACACGACTCTATTTATTCGTTTATGAGATTATTATAAGCGGTTTAAAATTTTATACTATCGACTGATGTTAGACGGTCATATTATTTTAAATAATTAATTTTATATAATTAGTTTACAAATTATATCTTGCTGTTATTTAATTGATCAATAGTATTAAAATTTATATTCATAATATCTCAAAATTAAATGCATAATACAAACACACATTAAAGTACACACGCAATAACATTTTTATAATTTTATAGTTGTTTTTATTATATTTTTCATCTAATATCATTTTTCGTTTTATTTACTTATTAGTTTAACTTTTATGTATTATCAATATAAAATGTTTTTGTTGTAAATTAAATACCTTAAATATAACATTAATTATTAATAACAATTAATAACACTAATAAATATGTTTATATATATAAATATGAGTGACTTTGAGAATATGTGTTTATATAAAAAATATTAAAATAATTAATAATATCTCTTATTTTAATATTAGAATAAATAAATTAATATGATTAAAACTTTAAAATATAGACATCTTAAATGAGAATACTAATATCGTTATTATTATCATTATTCCTTTCATCTTCATCATTAGTTCTTCTCGTAATTATTGTTCTTATCATCACTACTATCATATAGTAATAGTAATAGTGGAGCAATGATGACAAACATAACTCCACAATTACTATCACCATGACAATCATCACTTTTATTGTCACATCATTGTTTTTTTCCTATCTCCAATTCTTTCACAATTGAATTAGTAATGGTAAGAATCTATAACTATTATAAAAGGGGTATAGGAGATTTAACTGCTTTTTGGTGATATAAAAAAATCTTAAATTTTTTTTTAAATAAGTATACACAACTTTCTAATATTTTATTAGTGAATAATTATTAGAGTACCTCTCTAGTATTAATAATGAAGATGGTGACAAAGATAATCATGATCATGATAATAATTATGATGACAATAATAATAATAATATTCAACGTAATAATACATTGATGTATAAGTGTCCATAATAAAATTTTAATAATAATTTATTATTTTTAATCTTAATTTATTAATTATCATTAATTGTTCATATGTTCTCATGTAAATAAATTATAATTTAAACACTTGTATATTAACTACTATTATTCTGTTCGAGTTCACGATTGTGAATTTCTCTGCCTAAATACGAAGTATGGAGTTTGTTCGTGACTTCGTGTTCACCTCCGTAAACTCCTTTAGACTTCCCAAATGTTTGTTGTGCTTCATATATCAACCAAGTCCCAAAAACTCTTAGTTTCACTCGTCATGATTTTTTATGCTCTTTTTTAATCTTATTTTTTCCTCAAAAATATTTTAAATGGGGAAAAAATATGCATATCAAGTTTTATAACTTTAATGGAAGAAATACATATTCTTATAGCACTATCTTGATGATTTATAAATTTCAAATACTCTTTCATAAAAAAATAAAATAAAATGAAAACAGAAATGTATTTATTATTATTTAATATTTTTTATTAAATATTATAAAAAAAATCGAATGTATTGTAATGTGATCTAAATTAAGAATTAGGTAAATAGTATTATGCAGCGAAAGAAAATCACAAAAACTACTACAGAAAATTATGTATTAAAAGTTAATGAAATATGAATGAGATAAAGGGGATTAAATTAATAGAAAATGACTCGCTTTACCACAAAAGTCAATGTATTAAGTGTTAGATTAATGAATATTGATTTTAAAATATGTAAATAAGTAGGTTAAACATATAATTTAGAAAAATGGCGTCAAAACTTGCTTACTCGTACATATATTGTTTTTTATAGTTGGTTTTCTTAATTTTTTTTTCACTTATTTCTTCTTTAAAAATATTTTGAAATATGAATATATATATATATATATATATATATATATA